GTATTCCGCTCAAATGAATTGAGTAGCCTCTATGCAAAATATTGGTGCAGTCCATCACTCTCTATTAAATAAAACAACAATAATAATAAAAAGCTCCAGGCATTTCTCCCACTTACATAATTTCTTCCTTTTGTGTCTGGCAAGTTGAAAGCTTCAGTGAAGTCTGGGGAGCTTAGGGAAAATTTAGTCAAGCTGGAAGTAAAGTAGCCCTGAATGTACCTTTACAGAGTCAGGCAAGGAGTTCACATGAATGAGCTCCCAAACAGCGCATGTGCGATGAGCGTGTGAGTCGCCCTCTGACGTGCTGAGGGAGGAGAGTATAGAGAATTCAAAGACCACTTGCTTGGGAACTCTCTAGCCACACTAATATGTTGCCTCTGTTAAATGAACATCACTCCCGTGCCGTGTGGTGGTGGCTTTGCGCACGGAAGTTCCTGACGCACCATATAGGTCCAAGACAAGCAGAAACAACATATATTTTTCTGTAAAGAGGCCTTTAACCTAACAGCCCTAACTAGAGGGACTGTGCTCCCGATGAAGAGGCTTTTCCGTCTGTATGCCAGGTTAATGCTGACCAGCATGGTAAGGAGCCTGGGCCAATAAAGTTAACAGCAGTAATTTGGGCGGATGTTGGACTCTAACTACCGACCTTCAGAGCCACTGGGTTTTCTCAGTCACTGTTCACCTGTGTTGTGAACTGAGATAGCTGTGCCTTATGGATGTTTTCGAGAGCTGTCAAAGCTCAGATACATTGATTCGGCTGAATTTCCCTCCCCTGCCTTCTTCCATCCTTTTTTTTTTCTTTTTTGCTACCTTCACTCCCTCCTTCCTGAAGAACAAACAATTGAAAAGCAAAACAAAACAGCTGAGATGTTTTTGACAACAAAGCCAAGGAAAAATACATTGTATTGCCCATGCCAGCCTGCGGCCACGTTTTTGCTAACAGCCCAAGCACCTTGCCTTTTGCGATGGAGACAGCGTATCTGTGGCGTAGCAGTGCGACCCCCGCTCCCCCTGTGCTGGGGGTACTGTGAGGTCTTTACAAGTTGCCATTCACACAAGCGCAGTAAATACTTCTGTAGATACTAAATTATGGTGTAATTCTTTGGAAAATGCAGCGTGCCCACTGCTAATGCAGTCTGGGGTTGGAGGAGCCACGTCCCCTTCGTGTAGAGGAAGTCCTGGGAGCAGGCACCAGGTCTGAGACCGGAGAGCCCTCACTGGCCTGAAGCAGCGTGTGGAGGAAGAAAAAAAACCGTAGCCAAATTGAGGGAGCAGTTTGGCAAAAGCTATTGGATATTTCTGTAGAGAGTGTAGCACAAGAAGATCAGGTGCTGTCCTGGCTCCTGCGTGCTGTCACAGCTGCATGATAAAATTAAGGAATAATTCTTTAAAAACAACTGACAAAGTATCTTAGGTTATAGAAAGTGGACTTTTAGATTGACTTAAAAAAGAGCATGTTTCGCTGAAATGATTTAAACATACGATAGCAAAGGGAGGCTTGTAAGGCTCTGTAGCTTTTCTAACCCAAACAGGTTTTTTCTGTTTTCAGAAGAAAATTAAAAGAGTTGTTAGATATTTGCTTCTAGCAACAGAAGGTCTTGGGTGGTTGGGCAGATCCCAGACCTGTCTTTTTAAAATTTGCTTTTTGTTCCCAAGGTCTTGTAATTATGTTAGAACAAGATTACTATGCATTTTCTTTCTGTTTTCTGAAATAAGAAGAATGAAATTGTGTATGCCATTTAATTAAAAACAAATTAGCTAGTCATTCATCTGGTACTATGCAAATATATGTGAAATACAAGAAGTCCAAGCAACATGAATATGCTAGTTCACTGTGCAATAGTACTATGCCTTAAATTCAAAATCTTTCTATAATAAACAGCATTTCCCCTCCAAAGGAATAGATAGTTTTCACAAGCGAAGCGAAACATATCTTTTAGGAAATTGGTGTGCTGGGTGAAACTGTTCCACGATTACTAAATGATCATTGTTGTAATTAGGTATCATTATCTAGAGCAACTCTTTCTTGAGAAAGATCATTTATGGATGCTGTTACATGGCATTTTGTCTTATTGGACCAGGTCCATAAATGTGCTTTTTTAGAAGAAAAAGATTTAAAATTAAGAGAGGGAGTTGAAGAACTTGCATTTCCACTTTTCTGTACCTTTTGTTTTCTGTCTGTTCTTCCAGTCACCTCTGATGCTAATATATGGTAATAAACCTGATAACATTTAGTAGAGCTTTGAAAGTTCACCATCTACAACTTTTATCTTCACCACTGTTAGATCTGAATATCTATGCAGTGGAAAAGTTTTTCTAATAATGCAGTGGAGTTTTGCCCCCAAGTATCATTTTTTTCTCTGAAGAGAGTTATATATGCATCCCCATATGTTGAATGAGTGCTTAAATTTTGGAAAGGCCATAGACCTTCCCAAAAGCAGTAGAGGAGCATGGGGCCTCTACTCACAAGATCTTCTCTAGGGATTTTGCTAGGATCATTTATTGTACTTAGAATATGCAAGATACCATATAGAGAAGCATGAGGATCTGGGATAGAGAGAAAGATGGCAAGACATGAAGGAGAATAATCTTTTATAAATGCACAGGAGCATATGGAAGATTTTTTTTAATCATAGTAGCTTGGTGATTTTTACATCCAGTATTCTTTCAGCTCCTCTTGGGGAATATCCGCACCAACTTATTTTAGGGTTGCAACCTATATAACCATATTGGGACGCTAATATCTGTAGGCTTGCTGTATAGACTCTGTGTACCCTCCCTTGCGGAGAGGCAGAGGGAGAGCGACTGCACCAGAGAGTTATTTAATGCATCTCAGTTTAGGCTTCTGCTCCGTATCACACGTTGGACTTCCATCTTTTCCCCATTACCCATGGGGGCAGCCAACAACTTTTTCTGAGCAAGGCTCCAAGTCTCCAGACTTTAAGTGGCCTACCTAGTGTTCAGTGAGAGCAACACTCCCTTCCTGTGTGTTTTGACATCTCTGTGCAATGCAATGTTTGAGAATAGAATAAAAAAATCACACGTTAATTCATGGAAACTGCATTGAAGCTGATCAGGACCCTGTCAATTTAGTAGTTTTAGAGCAGATTAATAGGAGGAGTGTGGGTGGTTGAACACAGGTCTAGAGGTATATGATCCATTCAGTTTTCTTTGCCAGGGAACAATTTATAATGTTGTATGAAGATAGCTTAGTGGTCTGTAAGTTTCTAAAGGGAATTTTTCAATAATTTTCAGTGAAATTACAAGAAGGATGAAAATGCAAATAACATAGCAGTATTTATAATATTTTTTACTTTTTTTTAAATGTAAGCTCAAAGAAGTTTTCATATATCCCAACAAAAATGTAAAAAATCAATTCTACAATAAAGTGAATATTTCACTTCTCCCTAATTCAGTTAAGGACAAAGCATTTTTACCCCCATTTTAAATATCTCTTGACTTCCTTTTTCAGTAATGACTGCGTCACGAAATACAGATAAAACAGAAGGTGTGTGTGTTTATGTGCGCTTGGAGGCAGTATTATATCTGAAATAAGGTCATGCTAGTAATGCAAGTTTTGTAATACTTTCCATTTGATTCTGATGTGTTTATTCATCTTGAAGCATTATTGTTCAATAAAATAAGCAATCTATATACTGAGCCAAGTTTCCAGCTGTTTATAAATAATTTCGAGAAGAGAAATTCCAAATGTAATGGTCTGTAACAGGATTAAATTTTCACTTTCACTGAATTTTTTTTCCCACACTTTTTATCACTCAAGGTTTTTGCTTTCCTTTTAGATAAGATATTTCTGGTTTGGCATTAGGAATTATAACAGTGATTTGGCAAGGAGGTTATATCCAATTTTATACCCTATTTCCGTAGCATTGTTGTAGATACTTTTTACCTTAAAAAGTATTATTTGGAAGCTTGAAAGAGGGGTTGGTACAGCAGTTGTGATTCAGTTATTGGAGGAGACTGGTTAGCTTTAACCCTTTGAATCTGAGGACAGTTAGAGTGGCTCTTAATTGGTTTTGCTGTTGCCCACAGCTGTGGGACCAAAGGAATGCTGTAATCCCTGAATGCGCACGCAAAACGCGCATTTGGAAACCTGACCTGAGAAATCAGTTTTAGCTGCCGGAAAGGGATTCCATGGAAAACATTAAAGCTATCAAAAATGACTTGCTTACAGAAATATGAGAGAATGATAGAAAATAAATTATTGTGGCTTTCCTTCCTCTGGCAAGTGGGAATCAAGGAAGTGAGAGATGAGTAGATAACAATGTACCCATTTGACAGTCGCAGCCTTTTTAGAAACTTTACTTCTGTTTTGCTGCGAAGACACTGCCAAGGATTACAGGTTTAAAAATTGTCCTGTGATGAAGTGGTTATTTATTGTAATCTTCGTGCCTGCAGCAGTAAATCGTACTTGGCATCAGTAGGACAGGAGAAACTCATTCCAAAGTCAATTAACGTGTTCTGTTAGTAGAGCATAAACGTCAGAGTTAATGGGAGTTACCCGTCATTGTTAGCAGTCAGATTTTCATGCGTGTTGAATGTCTGCGAGTTGAACTGAAATGAGTGGGGCTTGGGGGCACTTAATGTCTTTGCACAAGGTCTGGGGAGAGAGAGGGGGCTGGGATGTGCCCAGGTGCCCCAGGTGTCTGAACGCAGCTCAGATGGAGGACGTGCAAGAAGGAGAGCAGCCAGCAGGAGCTCACACCGTGGCTTGCTGCCTCTGTTGAGATGCAAAAGTAGTTGCCTCTTATTCTTTGCTGTTCTGATGCTGCGTCGGTTGGGAATCATCATAAAAACTGAATTTTGCTGTGCGCTGCTGACTGAGGCCTTTACCCTTCCTCCCTCATTCCCTCTGCCTTCTACGTGCAACAGCGTGACTTAAAAATAAGTAGTAGGTTGATATTCAAATAGTTGGTAATGGCATGTTCATTGTGACAATTTATTTTATTTTATTTTATTTTTTCCTTTTTTCTTCCTAGTGTAAAACTCTCTCTGGCGTCTGTGATCATATCATCTCCCTCTCTTCTGATCCTCTGGTTTCCCAGTCTGCCCACCTTGAAGTGATCCAGCTCACAAACATCAAGCCAAGCGAAGGGCTGGTAAGAAGTACGCAGTTAATCAAAACCATCATCCAGGATGAGAGAGGGAATTTTTTAAATTAGATATGTATATATATATAAAGAAATAGGAGACTTTAGTTTTTTGTTTTTTGTTTTTTTTTTTAATCTGAAACATTTTGATTTCTCGTGCAGCTGGGCCAGTGAAGAAGTATTTTGTAAGGCTGACCAATATATGAGAAAATTTAGTAAACAGGAAAAAATGAAAGAGATGTTTTTGCCATTTATACCGGTTTCTGAAAAGTGGTTCAGATTGTTCTAGGATCTTGAAGTCTGAAGGGATTTAAATTACTAAGATCAGCTCAACTAAGACGTTTGTGTGGGCTTATGCACAAAAACTGTCAAATTCTGGAATTTGCTTCATAATATCTCCGGGATATAAAGCTATTTTATAAGTTATTCAGAGGCTCTACAGCACTGCTGAGAAGTAGCTTGTTGAATTTTACCGCAAAAACTTTGCATGCTTAATCAGGTGGTTGTGAAAGTTCAGTGTAGCCATCCTATGTCGCTCATGAGTTTCACCACTGATCTTTCAATTGCTCAAGTATCCAACACCCGTGGCATGGAGAAAAACCCACTGATAATACCTATAGCTGTTCTTCTTTACATGACTAATAATGTCTCTTCCCACCTCCCTTGGAGATAGTAAAAAGCGATCAGAATACAATTAACTGTTTTTTGGCTAGGGAAATAGCGTTTGCAGCTTCTTCTGCCCAAGGTCATTCTCATTCCATTTATGTGAATAAGAAGGATTACTGTTGCACTCTTCTCTGCTGCAGGTTTTTAAATTTATTGCTGAATGGTGTAGTTTTGGAGAGTGTTCTGGGCTTTGTGGGTTTTTGGGGTTGGTTTGTTTGTTTGTTTGCTTGTTTTTGACAAATTCGATATGCCAAGGTTTTCAGGTTAATTATTCACTAATATTTCTCCTTCAGCAAATCAAAATTAGAGTATGAGACAAAAATCTTTTAAATGAGTAAATATTGGCCCATCCTTTGTTTTGGTCTACGGCTTGTTTCTTCCCTCCTCCCCGGCTTTCTTTTACAATCTCTGAACGCACTTCAGAGTGCACCTCCAGGATTTCACCTTTTCACGGGCTCTCTGTCTCTCTTCCTCTCCTATTAATTTTCTCACTCTTTTGCCTGCTCTCTGCAGTCAGCCTTTCTAAATCCTGTCTCCTCCTGTAATGAAGGAATGTTCTTTCTTTTTCTCTCAAGTACTTTTTTTGGATTTCTGTCCATTTTTATCTTAGGTTTTAATTTTTCTCCTTGTAGGGTAAAGTTAACCTGCAGTAATTGAAAAGTGTTAAGAGCAGTATTTTTTATAAAGAATAATGTCTTTACGTGGGTGTGATTCAGCTGATCGGGTAGAGAATCTCTTCCCCTCTCTGTGCCTCTGTTTTCAACCCTCTGTCTGTCTTGTCTGTTTAAACCGGAACCTCTTGAGGCAGGGCTTCTTCCTGTAATCAGCGTTTGTGAACCAGCTGGACAGGGTCATGGTGCTGACCGAGAAATTCCATGTCGTTATCGTTAAGATAATTGTATGTATTTTTAAAAATGGAAAATACTGATTGTGCAAGCCTGGTTTACAAGCCTCGGAAGGAGACAATGCTGTTTTGATGCAGTGACCTTTAATTCTCCTCCCTCCTACCTCTTTGCCTCAGTTGTGTTGCCTCTGTGCTGCGCTGTGCCCTCTAGACTGTAAGCTCTCTGGAGCAGGAGCCAAGGCCAATGTATCTGCCCTGGGAGGCGCACAGCATACCTTTCAGTTTGTTACAGCGCCAGTCCAGTCACGCTAAAAGGTTAACTTTGTCACGTTACTCTTGGTGCTTTGTATGAAAACACTGGGTTTGGCTTTTTGTAACTACTGTCTTTCAGTCAAGATACAGTGAACGGATATCGGTGCAACCCTTTTGAGTATTAAGAGTATCAGTTTAATAAATGATGATAGAGTTTGGTGTTGTGACTAGTGGCTGCACGTCAGGAGCACTTGCACGAACACGAAGCTCGATAACTTCTGGACCCTATTCCAGGATGTGTGCAGCGATGGAGATGGAAAGATGGATTACGGCGAACTTCCTTCTTGAGTCTGGACCCATGTGGAGACTCTGTGCTGACTGTACTGTTCACTGGATAAAATGCTAGTCATATAAAAATGGAAAGACTGCAAGCAGAAAGGGAAGGGCAAGGATGGCTGCTAACTTGGAAGATATTCTGTCACCTAGCATGGACAGAATATCTAAAATATCTCAAGCAGTATCTAAGAAGCTAAGGTAGATCAGGGAGAGAGAAAGAAAAGGAGAAGGAAATAAAAAGCATGGAAAACGTTGCAATTTCTCTAAACTCATATGGTAAATGTATGACAGAATTGGGAAAATGGTTGGATTATTTTATACCATAAAACAGACAGGAGGACTATCAGGATGTTTTAATCAGTATAAGTACTTCCTTCACTGCAGCTGACTTTTTTTTTTGTGTGGAAATGTAAGTATCAGTCCGAGATAAATGTTAGTTGTCCAACTAATAGGTTACTGCAGCAGCACCAAATGTGTTACGTGGTTTAAAATGTCTTACAGATATTAAAATCAGTACTTAGCAGAAAAACAGACTAAAGAACCTGGCAAGAAGAAAACATGGTTATGGCGTGGTATGGAGAAACTCTTGTGTGCTGGGTAAAGCTTGAGTGCAGCATCATAGGTGGGTTTGGGGTTTGCTTTTTTTCCTCTGTCCTCTGTCCCCAAGTTTACTGCCCATGTGTGGTTATGTGGCTGGCTGTATATACATGTTCTCCAGGGAGCGTTACTGCAGGAAAAGACACAGCCTGCAGCAGTTTTGAAGCAAGGATGAAAAGGGAGTTCTCAGAGTACAGAATTCTTCTAAAAAGCCCTAACGTGGATTAACGTGGTCAGCTTTGCAATCACTGCCAGATATTCATACTCCCACACGTAATCACTCCTTCCTTTTTTGAGGACTTGAAAGTTGATTTATCTGTATCGTTCTATTGAATGTAATTTTGTGTGTTTTTCTGCTACTGGTGTTATAGAGAAAGACAAAAATGACTAGTTTAGGTGGTATCTTTTGCCACGAAACAGACTTAAAAATTTTACCGCTTGACTGAAAGCAATGTATTCGGCAAAAAAGCAGACTACTCTATGCATTTTGTTAGGCAAAAGCAGGTAACCAAGTCATAGGTACTGCTTTACCTTGGGAAGTTTTGCTTGAATAGTCGCCTTTTTATTATTGTATTAAATATAATATGGAATATTGGAGGAGAACTTTGGCACAGATTAATCTTGAATTTCAGTTTCTCCTGTTCAAATTTTCTTTTTAATCCTGGCCAGTTCATGTACTGTGACATGATTTTAAATTTCAACTCTTCACCTAGCTTGCTAGATTCTTGTGAAAATACAAAGGTGAATATGCCGCAACGGTAGACTAATTTTTCTTAGTTCCTCTTTGCTTGCTAAAGAAAATACAACATCAGCCTGTCATGTGCAAAAGCACCCATAAGATACAAGTGGAAGATAGAGCAGAGTGTGGCAGCCTGTTAAAGGTGCACTGCTGGAGGTCTTGCTAGGAAGTATTTTCCAGAAATCCAGTGTACTGTTACTTCTCCATGTTATTTGGCCCGAAATATTGGAGGAGCTGGGAAAAAATTATGAATAGGGTTCTGAAAACTGTTTGGGTCTTAGTCTTCTTAGACCTAGCTAAGCTCTAGAGTTGAATTGGAGGAGGACACAAGACTACTTCTAGGGTATATTTTACACTTTTGGAACATGTTTCAGGGTTAAAGAGGCATGTGCAACCTTGGGGGACTGCATCAAGGTGCCATCACAGTGAAAGAGTAAAAATTCAATTAGGTATATGATAAAATGGAATTAGTATCTTCTTGTGTACTTTCCATTTGGCATTGTGTGAAATGTGTTACAAGCATATCAAATTCTATTATCACAATATTAAAAAAAATACAAATCCAAGGTCTCTTTTCTAACCCTTAAATGAATAATAGTTCACACCAA